AAAATCGACTATTCCATCATTCGCGCTCTTCCCCGTGAATTACAGACGTTCCTACTAGACATCATCAACGGCTTATTTGCCCGAGGATTATTTCCGCCATCTTGGACGCACTCCTTGGTATATCTCATCCCCAAGTCTCAAAATAACAGTTTTAGACCTATTGCTCTTACTTCTTGTGTGCTCAAGTTAGTGGAAAAAATGATTTTGCCGCGGCTGCAATGGTTGATCGAAAATCTGGTGCTTCTTCCGGAATTTCAATTTGGTTTTCGCGCTTTCAGATCTTGTCTCGACAATCTTACTATCTTTACGGCCGACGTTCAGACGGGCTTCCTTCAGGGCAAAGCTACTGCGGCTCTTTTTCTAGACATTAAATCCGCCTTTGATAATGTCCTTCCGGATATCCTTCTTACAGAACTCGCCTCAATCAACCTTCCGCCTAATATCCTTCGTTTTATTGAAAATTTGATTTCTGTCAGAGAAGTTCAGTTCGTTGTTCAAGGTCGATTAACCTCCTCCCGTATTTCACGCAAGGGCACACCTCAGGGCTCAGTTTTGAGCCCTACGCTCTTTAATTTATACTTGCGTAAAATCCTTTCTTCCCTGCACCCAGACACTAAAATCATTCAATTCGCGGATGACATTGTCATTTACTCCACGGCTTCACACGTTGAGCGGGCGATTCAGTCGCTGCAGCGCTCCCTTGATGGAATTTCCTCCTTCCTCCGAAAACTGGGACTGGAAATCTCCCCCCAAAAAACTCAATTCATGATTTTCTCACGCTCGCGTAAACTGTCTTGCCCGAATAATAATTTCTTTGTGACGTGTGATGGTACCAGAATCAGCCCCACTTCTTCTGCCAAGTTCCTGGGCGTCATTTTTGATCCAACCCTCAAGGGTTCTCTCCATCTTGAACATGTCAATAATAAGGCGCGCAAAATCTCGCAAGTTATCTCGGCGCTAAGAGGGGTTTGGTGGGGATCTTCTCCCCAACTTCTCCTTGGCATTTATCGATCTCTTTGTAGAAGTGTTATGGAATATGCCTCCCACATTTTTGCGCTTGAGAATTCACGAGGCCGTCAGCGCCTTGAAATCACGCAAAATTCGGTGATCCGCACCTGTCTGGGGATGCGTGTGTCGACCCCACTCAACGTATTGTTTGCGGAGGCCCGGGAGCCTCCTTTGAAGCTCAGGTTTCAATACTTGGCTAGTAAATACATATGCAAGGTCCTTTCTATTGAAGACCATCCGGTGGTTGAAAGACTAGAGAACCTCCTTATACTTACCGACTCTCCTGCAAAGAGATTATACCTTGCTCACAACTTTTATCTTATCCAAATCTTTCGCCAAATATTCCTATACAAACAGACCCTACACAAAACTGTAATTCTTCCTGTATTCAGCTATACTTATTCCTCGATTTTCGTTACCCCGGAAGTGATCTACCCGAAGGAGGACCTGGTTGCCTTGCTCGAGGGTACTCCTAAGGAACATGCTCAAGCGATTTTTATAAGAGTTTTTCAAGATGAAATTGGGCAATCGGTTGTCTTTTATACCGATGGCTCCAAAATTGAAGAAATATCGACAGTAGGGGCGGCGTGCTACTCCCCTCAGTTAAACCTCGAACTAATGGACAGGCTTCCGCAACATGCCTCTGTTTTTTCCGCAGAAGCATGGGCCATATACAATGTTATATTATCCTTAAAAGCTTTCTCAGTAAATGACGCGGTTATTGTTACAGACTCGCTGAGCACTTTGCAAGCCCTGCAGAGTACAGGTTCTTATAAAAATAATACCTTATCCCCCTTATTAAAGCC